GTTACAGAAATTGTATAGTTAAAAGTTAAAAGGGTTTTTTTTGTAAGCAAATGCACTTTTTCATTGCACGCTTTAAATCCCAAAGGCAAAACTTGTATTGAAGTAGGAAATGCAAAAGCAGTTTTAACATTTGAAGTGCATGCTCCCAGCTAACAGGTCATGCTGCTATAACCAACCATACAGCTGACACAATGAACCCTATTTGGCATTTGCTCAGGCTAGTGTGAACCTGGAGGGTATCAGTGAAGTCATTGCTGTTTCCAGTAGTCAAAACTGGGCCCAGAGATTGACTTCAGTTTCACACAACTTCAGTAAAGACCCTGTGGAAAACTGCTTTTGGGTTTGGCACTCCTACAGAGTCTGCTTTACATTAATCCATTTTTGTGCGTATGCCTTTTTTCCCCCCTTTTGCTTGGTACTATGGGTTGGTTTCTACTTTTAAGCTAGCTTCTTTTCTGTCTTACTGGTCCTTTCTGGAGAGACACAACCTGTACATGAAATTGCTGTTCTATTAACCTGGTTGACCTAATAATGTTCCTTTCCCCTTCTCCAAAGAAACCCAGAAAATGAATGTCCCACTCCAAAACCTATATATTGTTTTCCAAAGTATATATCAAACACTGGGAAAAGCCAGTATGCATGGGGAGGGGGGAGTAGTCATGTGAGGAAAACCTAGAGTATAGAGCAGCTGAGAAATCATGTAATGGCAAATGAAGTAGGAAAACAGGGTATCTTCCGCCCTTTTAAAGTAAAAACAAGAGAAATCACTTCCACCATTGGTTTTTTTAATCTCCCCCCCGAAGCATTAAATACAGCATTCAAAATCTGTTGGACATGAAGTTGAAGACTTGATTTCTTTTTCTTTTCTTGAGTAAAGTCATAATTTTTGCTAATTGTTATAATTCTTGCTAGTTGTTATAATTCTTTACAGTCCTTTGGACTCCAGACAGGGCAGCACCAAAGCCACCAATGGGTATCAGTCAGTGGGAGGGAAACAATCTCAGCAGGACCAGATCTTCCACATAAGTACCTGGGATCAGCTCTGTTAAAGTCAGTGGAACAACTTCTATTTATACTCAATGACAGGAGTAGGCTACCTTTTCCAGCTGCAGGCTGGAATGACCTGGTTGCCGGTTGAAGGGGGGCTTTTGGTTTTGGCTGTTGCTATTACTTGTTTCCCCAGCAGCATAGGGAAGTGCCTGCAGCTGGTACTTCCCCTGCGGTGGCATAGGAAGAATACCTGCCAAAAGTATTAAATCAAGATCTGACCTGAATTTACTTCATTAACTTGGGGGTAAACTTTATAATTTCCTAGGTAATCTGTTCTTTTTCTCTCCCCAGCTTGAAGTCATCCTCTGCCCTGCTTAGTATAAAATATTTATGCCAAAATTCCTCTGCAGTTTAATATCATCATATATGTTTAGCTAAAAGCAACAGATGAAATTTGTAGATTGGACAAAATGTGCATGATGCAGAGAAGTCTGTTGCTGGAGAGAATGTGGATCCAGTCAGATGCACCTGACTTCATGAGGGAGAATATCCCTGGTAGTATAATTTAAAGATTATTTTAGAGACATGTCTGTTCCTTGATGTATTTAATGACCAAATCTAATTTTGAAATTGTATATAATTTATTTTTTTAGTTTGTTTCATCTTATAGTTGGATTTTTTTTCTATCTTCATCTTCTTGGACTCGACTTCTCCCACTCCTTTTTGGAGACCAGTATACTTTTAGTTCTAGACCCAAACAACTGCAATATAGTTGGATGTCTTGTGCTCATCTCCAGACACTGAAATATCTCACTGGTAGCCTATGCTTTGTGTCTGTTGCACTTTTGGTAATCCCCATGACCACTACAAAGCAACAGTATTTCTAGGCCAGCAGCAGCATTTCTGAGTTTGTTTCTTTAAACTCTGTTCCTGAAACTCAGATTTATATGTATATTATTGCACCACCTTGTTATCCATTGTGTGGAGATCTGTGTTGTTAAGGTACTGATTTTCCTCTCCTCCAACTTAGTAAAATTTAAGGTTGAGTTCCTCTCCCACCCACCCTTTCTTTGGGTCTAGTGTTTCATCTCATAACAAGGCAAAATTGGTTGTTTCTGTTGAGTCACCAAGAAATTAAATCCAACTGATGCCTGTTTTTTAAATTCCTGTTTTGCAAATTGAATACGTTTCTGTCCAAATGAGGAATGTTTTCGGCATTTGTCATGGTTTGGATTCCATTCATGATATGTCACAAATGGAAGCTATTTCTTAAAGCTGGTCAAACTTGTAAACTTTTTGCTTGCCAGAATAGACTCCAAATGCTGAGCTATTTTCATTAGCTTTCTTAGCTACTTTAAATGGCATGGAGAGCTATCTAGCTTTCTTTTAGAAATCTGTGAGAGTTAGGGGTGTAGGAGTTCTGATATTCCTTTAGTCAGTCAAGCTGCATCAGTCTGATCTAATCTCAGAATGAGGGCAAAAAGTGGTCTTATGAATGCTTTCTTTTGTGAAATGGATGTTTGTAACAGGCCTCTTAGCACAGGCAGTATTAATGTTGCCAACTATCCAGGCTATGAATGCACATTGATCAAGTACTGCATGTCTGCTCAGCTATCTTTTTCCTAATTTCATTTCAGTGTATGTGGGGTGAGGGGGATGGGGAGTGGGGAGGAATGTTATCATGCAGGGTCGCTTGCATTTTTTTGGTCTGTTTATATCACGTTATTTTAGGTTGAATCAAATATTGGTTTTATTATTCAAAACTGTTCTTTTTAAAGTAAATTGTCTTTAACTCTTGTGGAATAATGTACCAGTTCTCTATCATCAGCCATTCTTAACACAGCCATAACCATTCACTCTGAGAGGTGGTGAGTGCCTTTGACTCCTATAGGCTTCCTTGAAAGTTGAAGTTCTTCAGAGGCTTCATCTTGTCAGGTACTAACGGGAAAATGTGCAAAGGAAACTAATAAAGAGAACGGATGCATTTTTAACTACTTCAGCACCGAATCTTCATTCTGGGGCTTCTGTGAATAAGATTTAGCTGCTTTGTATGGTCCTTTGAAGAAACTTAAAAAAAACCAGAACTGTGATCAAACCTAAGGGGGTTAAAAAGTATGTGAACGATCTCTCCAAAGTTCTGCACAGATCTTTTGTTTATTGTTCTCCCTATCATGGATGAATTGCTATGTGTGTGTACATACATATCTATGTCTATATTAAACAATGCAATTTTGACTTGTCTTTCCATTTTCCTGATGAGAGAGATGCCTGGGGGTCAGCTGTAAACATTAAAAAAAAAAAAAAAAAAAAAAGTAGGAAAATATCATTGGTTGTCTGGACTGAGGAAGTCCTCTTCATCCCCTTTGTACTCCAGTTCTCCCCAGTCATAACTTCCCTGCCTTGCAGGAACATTAGCTGCATAGCTGGAGAGCTTGTGCAATAAGTACAGAGTATTCTATTACTTCCTGTCGCTGGGACTGTGTTGTGAATCCTCTCTTGGCTACTTGTGCAGTACTCATTGAAATCATAAAGTGTTAATGGAGTGATCTCACCCAGATGTGAAAGCCAGACACCAAAGCTGCTGGGACTTTCAAGAGTTGAAACAAAACTCTTCCCCTTGTGGCTTTATTAGCCTGCTTCAGCACAGCACTTGCTTCAATCCCATTGACTTCAGTGAAAATCAGATATATGCTTAAGTGTTTTGCAGAGCTGGGTCATCAGAAAAAATGCAGGTGTCTCTCACTTCCTAAGTCTGAGGCTAGCTCTGATTAGGCTAGCTTCCTAAGTCTGATGTTAGCTTGATAACAGCTTCCCATCAGCATCCCTTGGAATAGATGTCCTGAATACATAAACTTTCCCTCATCAAAACAGGATTAGCTGCAGTCAGTGAATTTCTTTTTCAGGTTATCATTGGCAAATTTGAAAATATTTTCTTAAGTGAAAGTAACTAGAGCTTAAATTTCTACATTAAATTTCTACTTACAGGTGTCCTGGGTGTTCTCCCTAGTGGGTCCATATATGTCCTGCGTTAGGTGAAGGTCCTGCATGCAGGTTAAGAACCTATGTGAACGGTTGGATTTGGCTGACTGCTCCTCCCAGCAGATGTCAGGGTAGCTTAGGACCCCGATGACAACCACGTCCCTAGACTGTACAGCCTCTGAGAGCTGCCTCAAGAATTCCAAGTCTCGCTTTTCCTATTGGTGTGGTGGTCTGTAGCAGACCCCCACCACCAAGTCCCTTTCCCCTCGACCTCCATGTATCCTAACCCACAATGTCTCAACTTTCTCCTCCTCTGATCCCATTTTGATTAAGATAGATGTATAATGCTCCTTTACATAGAGAGCCACCCTGCCCCCTTTCCTCCCTACTCTGTCCCTTCTGTACAACCTGTAGCCCTCAATGTGTACTGCCCAGTCATGGGTAGGGTCCTACCATATTTCCATTAGCCCTACTAAATCAAAGTTATTATCTGCAAGCAGAGTGCGAGTTCTTCCTGCTTGTTCCCTGTGCTCCTAGCATTAGTATAGAGGCACTTGAGTCCTCCAAATGGTGCCTTTGGTGCCCCCCATTCTGATGCCCAATGGGCCCCTTAGTACTTACCTGGGATGTACTGTTGCGTGTCTCACAGTTTGTAGGTTCTAGACTCTCTCCATCTCCTGCATCCCCATCCCCCGTTGAACTTAGTTTAAACTCTGGTTGGGGAGTTGCAGTCATTTGCAGAATAGAGAAATTAGAGAATAGGGCTAATAACAAAAAATGAAATTCAAATAAAAAAACATAAGGTCTTACAAATGAGGAAGAAAAAACAAGAGGAGAAGGTGGTTGGCAGTTGCAGGACCTTGGGGTGGGGGCTGAATCACAAACTCAACATGAGTTAGCTGTGCATTGCTTTTGCAAAAGAAGCACCTGCGGTTTTGGGTTGTGTTAGACTTAGGCTGTCCAAGTGGCAGCCCACAGGTTGAATGTGACCCGGAAGGAATTAATTTACAGC